TGAAATACTAACATGGTTTAAGGATTCAAGATAGAAAGGTCCCCCCGCACATATGTGCTAGTCGTTTCCAGCTCTAGGGGACGGTGCTCATCTCCGTTTCAAAGCCGAAGAGCCAGCGCTGTCCGAAGATGTCTCTGTGGTCATGTGGCCGGCATGACTAAGGCACATGGAGCGTTGTTCCCTTCCCACCAAAGGTGGTTCCTATTTTTCTACTTGCACTTTTTACATGCTTTCACACTGCTAGGTTGGCAGAAGCTGGGACAAGTAACGGGAGCTCACTCCGTTACGCGGCGCTAGGGATTCAAACCACTGAACTGCCGACCTTCTGACTGACAAACTCAGCGTCTTAGCCCCTGAGCCATCGCATCCCCCTGGTTTAAGGATTAGGGATGTGCTAAACCTTCTACAGATCCAAAGACAGATTCAAGTGGCCTTTTAAAAAAAAAAAGAATGCCGTGATCCAGAAGACTTCCAAAGTTACTGAGATCTTCTTCATCAATATAACCAGAGGTGGGCTGCTGCCGGTTCGGACCGGTTCGGGCAGACCAGTAGTTCTGACCACTGGCTGGGCCCATTCACCTACCCCAGCACTAGACTGTCCTATTTATCTCACTCTCTGGCTTTGTTCCCTGCCCACGAAGTCCAGCTGATTGCCGCACCTCACCTGCTCTATTAGCCATGGCTGCCTGAAAAGGTTTGCTGTGTGTTACTTTGCGCGAAAATGATGCAGGTGCTCACATTTCTGGCGAACCGGTTGTTAATGTATGTACAGCCCACCTCTGAATATAACGTCAAGTCTCTACGGCTGAATGGCATTGCTTCCACATCCATCCACCAAGCTATAGCAACTGCACATCAATGAACAAGCAAGAAAATCCAAGAATTGTAGAGTGTATTTACCTCCGGTGTCCCATGACAATCATCCGTAATCTGTCACCCAGGTCCTGCATTTCATGGATCTGGACAAAAGTCCCCATCTGATAGATTTCGTTTAGGTTCTCCACCACATCTGATTCATTGCTGACAAAAAAAGTCAAAATAATTTACTCAGAGACATTTGCGGAGAAAGAAGAGAGCTCAATTTCAGAAAAACAGAGTCCGTTTTAATATTAACTTTGGAGCAAAGGAATCTGCTGACAAATTTATTTTTTTAACATCTTATTTTGACACATAAAACTTTAAGCAATAGTAAATAATTTCCAGTTTTAGATAGCATTCTCCGATTCACTAGGGAATCTTTGAAAAATAAGACATTAGAGGAAATGGGAGATTCTTTGAAATTTGTCATCTTATTGTAATATCTAAATGTACTATCCATAATCACCACACATCCATAGAACATAAAATAATCCCAGTCAGGATAAAGACAATATTCTGGATTGAATAATAATTTTGGTAATTCTAAACATTCACTCCATACATAGTTAATTATCATTAGATAAATACAGTATGCCCTATAAAAAAAGGGTTGACAGAAGCAATAAAGGCAGAATATTCAGGTAGCCAGCAAATCACACAGAACATATCTAGAGTCACCAATGTGCTCCTTAATCTGATGGCTTATTTATTGTAAATAATCTCTTGTAAAAAGTATGAAGATCCATGTTTTTAAATGGTGCTGTGTGTGTGTGTGTGTGTGTGTGAATACAGGTAGTTCTGGACTTACAATCACAACTGAGCCCAGAGCTAAGTGAAAAAATTGTTAAGTGAGTTTCTGCCCCCATTTTACAACTTTACTTGCCAGATTTGCTAAATGAATAACTTCTGTGGCTAATTTAATAACAGGTGGTCAAGTGAATCTGGCTTTCTCATTGACTTTGCTTGTCAGAAGGTCGCAAGAGATGATCACATGACCCCCGGGAGACCGCAGCCATCATAAATATGAACCACTTGTCAAGCATCCAAATGTAAATCACATGACTTTGGGGATGCTGCAACGGTCATAAGTGTGAAAATGGCCATAAGTCACTTTTTTCAGTGATGTTATAACTTCACACGCTCACTAAATGAACTGTTGTGAGTCGAGGAGTACTTGTAAATCCTACATAAGAAGTTAGGCGAATTCAAATTCATAAATATATTATTTGTAGTTGGCCATATCCCCAATACCAAGTATTGAATGCTGGTGTTGGAGAAGACTCCTGAGAATACGGTGGTCAGCCAAGGAAACAAACCAATGGATCATTGAACAAATCAACTTCAGATCTATTATGGGAAAACCCAACTCCCTGGAGGAACCCCCAGTGCTTAGAAAGGCAAAAGGAAAGAGAAGAGGAAGACTAGCGGGAAGGTGGGTGGATTGTGGTGGTGACAGAAGCACCCTTGGGGCAGCTGAAAGACCAGGCTAGGATAGATCATTGAGGAGAAAAATCTATCCAGGAGGTCACTAAGAGTTGACAATGACTTGATTGCACATGATCAATCAATCAAGTCCCCAATGGATGCTGCCCCTTGACAGCAATTTTGTGATCATCAATAGCAGTTAGCAATAGCAGTTAGTCTTATATACTGCTTCATAGGGCTTTTAGCCCTCTCTAAGCGGTTTACAGAGTCAGCATATTGCCCCCAACAGTCTGGGTGCTCATTTTCCCCACCTCGGAAGGATGGAAGGCTGAGTCAACCTTGAGCTGGTGAGATTTGAACCACCGAACTGNGCTGCTGATGACGTCAGGTACGCGCTTTCGTCGAGCGCGGTTTTGTCGACCACGGTTTTGACAGGTCACGTGCAGGCTGTACAACAAGCTCTTTCCCTCTTTTCCATGGGTCTTCCCATTAATCAAGAATACCAATCCAGTTCAACTATTTAGCAGTCTATGCTCTTTACTCAGATAAAGGTTCCCCTCGCACATATGTGCTAGTCTTTCTCGACTCTAGGGGCGGTGCTAATCTCCTTTTCAAAGTCGAAGAACCAGCGCTATCCAAAGACGCTATCTCCGTGGTCATGTGGCTGGCATGACTAAACGTCAAAGGCGCACAGAATGCTGTTTCCTTCCCACCAAAAGTGGCCTCTAATTTTCTACTTGCATTTTTCCATGCTTTTGAACTGCTAGGTTGGCAGAAGCTGGGACGAGTAACGGGAGCTCACTCTGTTATGCTGCACTAGAGATTCAAAACACTGAACTGCCGACTTTTCTGATCGACAAGTTCAGTGTCTTAGCCACTGATCCACCTCTCAGTGAAATCACCCCAAGGCATCCACGAGATCTCAATCAATTTTGACCCAAAAACATTACACAAACTCCTCCAAGAGTTTGTTTTGCATACATTTCACACATCTGGCCCCAGAATATAAATATATCTCAGGCATATATTCCATATTTTTTTTCTCAATACAAGTGTTGAAACTATAACCCTTTGGGTTTTTTAAGTTAGCTATATGCATGAAGGTTAAGAATCAAACCAGATTAGCTTTTTATTAGCTAAAATTACTTAAAACGAATGCTTGAGAAAAATAGAGTTCTAATCAAAGAGAAGATGAACCAACAGAAGGAAGGAGAGGCATCAGGCATGCGATAATGCCTCTAACAGTGTCTATACGCTGGTGGCTCTTTTTCTGCATTCAGATGCGATGTTCTCAACTTCCCTTGCAGAATCACTTACTGTTTCAGAGTTCTCAGCAAGAGGGTCAGGTGAGAAAGAATGCCAGGTAAAATGAGAATAAAACATACGGTGTCTCAGCTGCCACCTTATGCTTGCTTGGGCTTCAGTGAGGTGACAGAGTGACATGAACTCTGGAGAGGAGGGGATGTTCGGGAAGCGAAAGTAAATGCTGTATCGCCTTGAGACACTGCCTCAAGGTCACCCAGCTGTAAGGTCTGACATGGCACCTCCTGGGACATCACATATTTTCTTCTTCCCTGTTTGGTATGTAACTCTTCTTTTTAAAACCTATCCCCAGTTCTCAGCCCATCCCTGTTATTAGTTTTTACCATATATCTTTATATATTTTATTTAGATTTTTTAAAGATTTTATTTGTGATTTATAGGCCGCCCTTTTCCCTGAGGGGACTCAGGGC